CCCAGCACTTTGGGAGGCCGAGGCGGGTGGATCACGAGGTCAAGAGATCGAGACCATCCTGGTCAACATGGTGAAACCCCGTCTCTACTAAAAATACAAAAAAGTAGCTGGGCATGGTGGTGCGTGCCTGTAATCCCAGCTACTCAGGAGGCTGAGGCAGGAGAATTGTCTGAACCCAGGAGGCGGAGGTTGCGGTGAGCTGAGATTGCGCCATTGCACTCCAGCCTGGGTAATAAGAGCGAAACTCCGTCTCAAAAAAAAAGCCTATTTTACATCCAAGGGAATAAGTTAATTAAGTATCTCTATACATGAATCTGAAATGTATGGAACACATAAGGGCCAGTGGTATAAATTTTAGAGTACAGTGAATATAGTCTCCAAGGGGACAAATCATAAGTAATGACGCTCACTATTATAGAGTGGAAATACTATGCAATCTCTGTAATTGGAGTATTTTTATGCCCAACTAAGCATTTGAAAATCTACTTTGGTCAAGCTCAAGAGAATCTGAATCTGAATCTCCCAGTTTTCACTCATAGCTTACTCTTACTATGTACTGCCATGAGGGGGCGTGTTTGGGCTGTATTCTGTGACTTGAAGTATAGTAACATTAATGTCTAGGTACGTATACCTAGAAGTCTAGGGTCAGCATATGTGTGAACCAAGACTTCATTTGAGACAGCCTCACGCGGAGAATGTAATGAGCCATTCTCTTCTCGCATAGAGGTAATTGGCAGGCTTGTGAATTTGTTACTGTTATCTTGTACACTTCAAATTTAAGATTCAAACTTCCAAATTAAATCATGCATTTGGTAGCAGCAATTATCATTTTAGAAATAAATGAAGGGCCCACCCCTCTCCCGAGAGCTACGCGGCAGTGGAGCGCAGGCCTCGTGCCGTTACGGCCATCACAGCGGCCGTGGCAGCGTCCCGGTGCCTTCCTCAGGCATTACAAAATATTATACCTCTCTGAACTACAATAAACTGACCCAAGATCAGCAAAGAAAGAAGCCATTATGTGACTACAAAAGTAAGAGCAATAATCTTGCTAAATTATGAGCAATTAGATATAAACCACCAATTATGAAAACATGTAACATAATGAAGAATTTAATGTCATAATTAACACAACCAACATTGCTGAAGCTGCTGAAAGATGGCAGAAGAAGCGCTGGTAGTAGCCAAATTTGATTATGTGGCTCAACAAGAACAAGAATTGGACATCAAGAAGAATGAGAGATTATGGCTTCTGGATGATTCTAAGTCCTGGTGGCGAGTTCGAAATTCCATGAATAAAACAGGTTTTGTGCCTTCTAACTATGTGGAAAGGAAAAACAGTGCTCGGAAAGCATCTATTGTAAAAAACCTGAAAGATACCCTAGGCATTGGAAAAGTGAAAAGAAAACCTAGTGTGCCAGATTCTGCATCTCCTGCTGATGATAGTTTTGTTGACCCAGGGGAACGTCTCTATGACCTCAACATGCCCGCTTATGTGAAATTTAACTACATGGCTGAGAGAGAGGATGAATTATCATTGATAAAGGGGACAAAGGTGATCGTCATGGAGAAATGCAGTGATAGGTGGTGGCGTGGTAGCTACAATGGACAAGTTGGATGGTTCCCTTCAAACTATGTAACTGAAGAAAGTGACAGTCCTTTGGGTGACCATGTGGGTTCTCTGTCAGAGAAATTAGCAGCAGTCGTCAATAACCTCAATACTGGGCAAGTGTTGCATGTCGTACAGGCTCTTTACCCATTCAGCTCATCCAATGATGAAGAACTTAATTTTGAGAAAGGAGATATAATGGATGTTATTGAAAAACCTGAAAATGACCCAGAGTGGTGGAAATGCAGGAAGATCAATGGTATGGTTGGTCTAGTACCAAAAAACTATGTTACCATTATGCGGAATAATCCGTTAACCTCAGGTTTGGAACCATCACCTCCACAGTGTGATTACATTAGGCTTTCACTCACTGGAAAGTTTGCTGGCAATCCTTGGTATTATGGCAAAGTCACCAGGCATCAAGCAGAAATGGCATTAAATGAGAGAGGACATGAAGGGCATTTCCTCATTCGTGATAGTGAATCTTTGCCAAATGATTTCTCAGTACCACTAAAAGCACCAGGGAAAAGCAAGCATTTTAAAGTCCAACTAAAAGAAACTGTCTACTACATTGGGCAGCGCAAATTCAGCACCATGGAAGAACTTGTAGAACATGACAAAAAGGCACCAATTTTCACAAGTGAACAAGGAGAAAAAGAAGACCTTGGTCTTCTGTTTTATTGTTTTCTTCTTTGCTGTTTTTGCTTTGCTTCTAATATTACTGTTTTGTATTTTGAAAAAAAACAAATAATGCAGATCAGAATCTTTATATGGAAGAAATCCTTTATTGCCTTTATTTCCTTGAAAAGGCACCCTGTTAGTTCTGTTATGATCTCTCTTTATATAAAATTATTATATCTATATATGACATATGCTAAAATAAATTTCTTGGAGAGTGTTAAAAAAAAGAAATAAATGAAAACAATGAATTGGTTAAATATATAATCCAATTTCATGAATTACTGATTTCAAATGAGGTTATATTAATATTAATGTCTTTGAATGTTTCTATTCATTCCCTGATTCAGGTACCCTCTCATCATCACCAATTGAATGACTGCTTTGATTGGCATTTTTTCGGATTATTAGTAAGTATGAGTATGTATTCATATATTTGTTAGCCATTCAAGTTTCCCCTTCTGTGAAGTTCTTGTCTACATCTTCAAGTAATGTCTGGTTGGCTGTTTATATTTGCAGATTTTTTTTTTTTTAGATGCAGTCTTGCTGTCACCCAGGCTGGAATATAATGGTGCAATTTCTGCTCACTGCAACCTCCGCTTCCCTGGTTCAAGCAATTTTTCCTGCCCCAGCCTCCCAAGTTGCTGTGATTACAGGCATCAGATACCATGCCCACCTAATTTTTGCATATTTTATTGAGACGAGGTTTCACCTTGTTGGGGAGGTTGGTCTCAAACTCCTGACCTCAGGTGATACATCCACCTCAGCCTCCCAAAGTGCTGGGATTACAGGCATGAGCTACTGCTCCCAGCCAGAAATATAACTCTTAATGTAGCAAAAGGATATTTAGCCTAATGAAAGATAAGATAGAAGTAAATATACTAAAATAAAATATAAAAACTTTAAAAGTCCTATTATACCAGCGATCACAAAATACAAATAGGTTAAAGTTGGGTGCAGTGCTGTAATCCCAGCACTTTGGGAGGCCAAGGTGCCAGGCTTTTTTTTCCAAGTGTGCAGTTAATATTTCTCTAGTAGAGGAAGTTTCTTTAATAAGAAAGGTTAAAAATAAAGTGATAGAAAAATATATGGTAAAAAAATGTAATACAAAGATGTACATATGCTTATGAAAAGACATGTATAAGAATGTTTATAGCACCACCACTATGAAAAATCCCTTTAATTTGAAAAACAAAGAAATGTTTATTAACAGAAGAATAGATAAATAGATTGTAATACACAGTATTTATAGAATAGGATACTACACATGAGTGAGAATGAATAAGCCACACTACAGGCAATAACATGGATGGATATTTAAAATCTACTGTGGAGTGAAAAACCCAGATACAAGTGAGGACATATGCTCTGATGTCATTCATATAAAATTCAAAATCGGGTGAGCCTAGTCTACAGTGCTAGAAGTAGGAGAATAGGTCAGGTGCAGTGGTTCATGCCTGTAATCCCACTGCTTTGGGAGGCGGAGGCAGGAGGATCATTTGAGGCTAGAAATTCCAGACCAGCCAGGGCAACATAGCAAGACCACGTCTAAAAAAAAAAAAAAAATAGTTGGACATAGTGGCTGCACATCTATCGTTCTAGCTACGACTCTGGAGGCTGAGGTGAGAGGATCCCTGGAGCCCAGGAGTGAGTTATGATCGCACCACTTGTACTCCCCCGTGGACAACAGAGTGAGTGAGACCTTATCTGTAAAAAGAAGCAAAAACAAAACTGCAAAACTTTTTCCCAGCTTCTTATGAGAGGGTGGTGGTAGTAAAACACAAAAGGCTTCAGGAGATGAACATTTGGTGATTTCTTTGTCTTTTTTGTTTGTTTTTAGAGCCAAGAACTCTGGAACTTGTTAAGAAGGAGGAGGAGGAGGAGGAGGAGGAGGAGGAGGAGGAGGAGGAGGAGGAGGAGGAGGAGGAGAAAGAAAAAGAAAAAAGAATCCTCATCATTTTTTTTTTTTTTTTTTTTTTTTTTTTTTTTTTTTTTTTTTGAGACGGAGTTTCGCCCTTGTTACCCAGGCTGGAGTGCAATGGCGCGATCTCGGCTCACTGCAACCTCCGCCTCCTGGGCTCAGGCAATTCTCCTGCCTCAGCCTCCTGAGTAGCTGGGATTACAGGCACGCGCCACCATGCCCAGCTAATTTTTTGCACTTTTAGTAGAGACGGGGTTTCACCATGTTGACCAGGATGGTCTCGATCTCTCGACCTCGTGATCCACCCGCCTCGGCCTCCCAAAGTGCTGGGATTACAGGCTTGAGCCACCGCGCCCGGCAGAATCCTCATCATTAATGCAAATGGGAGGAAACTTCACTAAAGAATCTATTACATCATGAAAGGTGAAATCATTAAGGAATTATTGCTTAAATATATAATTAGTATCTGGATTTTAAAATAATAAATATGTTTTTTCCTAAAAAAAAAAATCTACTGGTTAAATTCAGCTTGAATCCTTTGTCACTACATCAAGAGCTAACAGTTCAACAATTCATCTCCACAACCTCCTACCTCGTTTCCTTTCTCAGTCCAATTAACAGGAAAATGGAAGAAAAAAATAATTATTCCCCCCAAACACAGTCTCAGTTTCTCTAGCGGTCACCTCTGAAAAGGGAAAAATATCTGAAAATAGACAAAGGTGAATACAAACGTCACTTAATTGCCCCCACACAGACAGCCTCCGCTCCTGGGACGGAGAGGAAGAGCTGGTAGGGAGGAGTAAGACGTGGGAGGGACGGCGGGGGCACAGGTGACGTTCTCTGCCGTCAGCGTTCCAGGCACACAGAATTTCAGGCACACAGCCGCAGTCGGCCACGCGCGCCTCCGGGAGCGAGGATGCCGAGGCCGGTGAGCGGGGACCGGGCTTGGGAAGGAGGGCGCAGGGTGAGCGATGCCGACCGAGGCCCTGCGGCGGGCGGCGAGTCGGGGGCGCGGGGCTTCGGCTCTCGCAACGGTCAGGTCCTCCGGCGACTTGATCTGTGGTGTTGCTGGCAGCGCTTTCCTCTAAGCGCTATCCCTTGCTTAGGAACGGATTTTGCCTTCCAGAGGGTGGTTTACAGGCCGCTGCTGGCGTTGGGGGTTCTCCATTCCAATTCCCGGACAAAAAGATGCATAGGCCGGGGGGCTCCGGAGCCGCTTGTTCCGAGCTGGCGCGGCTAGCGCATCCCCCTGCAGGCTCACGGCTCGGCTGTCGGGCTCCAGCTCCCAAAGCTGGGGAGGCACCCCCTATTTTAAACTGCCCCCAGAAGGGAATGAGGCATGCTGCATTGGTTCGTGTTAACACCAAAAGCTGCGGCGGGGATGCAGATTTCCAGGCTCGCGCTCTCCGGGAGAGCTCCTACGTCTTCTCTTTGTTACTCAGCGCTTCTCCCTCCTAGCCCTTGCCTGGGGGAAGCCATGAGCTGAAGAGGGTTAACTCTGAAGCCTCGCTTGAGAGAACTGAAATGTTCTGTGATCGTGATGCTTGGAAGGGTTAACCCAGGTTATCTAGAGAAACAGACATTTTGTTTATTCGTAACCAGCTTACAAGACAAAAAGAGGAGAAGGTTTTCATATACCCCATTGGTATTTGAAATAAAAATCCAAATACAATGAATGCCTCAAGATAATGTTTTCGTGTATGGTTTGCTGGCAAGACCGCACAGCCAGTGATTTCACTGTCTTTCTTAACAAAGGAGAATGGTGGTCTGTGAGCTAGGTTCTCCTGCAAGCTAGATGCGCTTAATCTTCTTTATAACTATCCTTCTAACAAGGAATTATTACCTGGTTTTACAAATAAACAGGCGGAAAGCTAGTATTTCCAAGTCCATGTGACTACATGTGGGGTGATGTGGATTTGGACATAGAAACTTGCCGAGGAAGAGGCATGAATAGGGGCCATGTAGCTGCCGGTTGGGCAGTGTCAGGTAAGACCCAGGCTTTTGTGAACCCTGGACTGATGGCAAGGGTTATAAATGCGCTTGTTTGTTTTCATGACTGTAGTTCCCTTATATGATTTGATCGATTAATTTTTTTTAGCGGCCTAACACCTGTTGGCTTTTGCTATAAACTGGGCTCATATACTAAGTGCTTTAATTAATGTTTGTGAAACACCTGTTGCTTGGAATTGGTTTGGCACTTCCTCTTTATATTGCCCTCCTTAAGTTTAGGTCATGGCTGTCTCCCAAGGAAAGAAAAGGGCATGTACTGACCAGAATTAAAATGAAGAAATCCAGTGAGTAGGAGGATATTAGAATTGAGTGGCTCCCATTAGACAGGAAAAGGAAGAGAAATCCCTACGGCAGATAAAGGAGGAGAGATTTAGATCCCTGAGAACTCTATTTCCCCACCCACCGCTCCTAAGCCCACAAGAAGAAGGATATCACAAGACAATAAAAATTCCAGAGAAACTGAAGGGCACACAGAAAGATCCAGCTTACAGTGATACGGAAAATGAATTCTAGCAGGGAAGTCATCATATCTAAAAGGAATGGCAAAAACAGGGCTTAGTTAAGGCAAACACTGAGAACGAGGGGATGGGGTTCCCACAGGTAGAATATCACCCTTTAACAATCATCCTGAACCTAAACCAGTGTCATTTAAATTATTATGGTTCAATATTCTAGAAATAAGCTTCAAATTATAGTAGCAGCAGGTGGGGCTAACGTGGAGCCAGTGATCAGGACATCCCGCTAAAGCAACAGGATTTAGTTGTTATTGAGGTTCTTAGGGGCAATGAGACAGGCACAAAGAGACCACTACTTTACAGAAGACTATGTTCATACTGCTAAATACCATAAAAGAATAGACAGAGCCAAATAAGAGACTGTTTCTAACAAAGCAAGCAGCCAATGTCCGTTAGATTGGCTAAAATCTCCATTATCCACCATTGTCTCCAAAGCGCCTACTATAGTGCCTGGAATGAAGTCAGACCCAATCAGGATGATTAGTATTAGAATCAACAAAAGAAGTACAGTTGTCCCTTGGTATCCATGGGGGCTTTGTTCCAAGACCCTCACCGATACCAGTGGGTGGATGGTGCAAGTCCCTTATATGAAATGCCATAATGTTTGCGTATAAGCTATACGTGTCCTCCCATAGATATAAACTAATGTCTCCATTATTTATAATTCCTAATACAATGTAGATTCTATATAACTAGTTCTTATGCTGTATTATTTAGGCAATAATGACAAAGATCTGTATTTGTTCAGTGCAGATGCTTTTTTAAAAAATATGCAATTTCCATCTGTGGTTATCTGAATCCATGGATACAGAACCCGCAGATACAGTGGATCAACTATATTGACAGAAGTTCAGCTCCAATGGAAGACAAGACTACTGCACAAAACACCCATGTTATGAGCTGAGACTAGGATAGTAAGGGACAAGCACTTCCCATGCGAGAAGCTAATGTGTATAGTGACTAATTACATATCCAGGTAGGGGAAAAGCAAGACATCCTGAATGACTTGAGTGCCTAAGAGATAAAAGTCCAAAAGAGAAGCTCCTCCAGGTAAAATGATGATTAATTTGAAGTTATTCATAGATTTAATTATTCACCATTTGTTCCTTTCTTTTATTCAACTGAGAGCATAAATAAAAGAACAGATGCAGGAAATAGCTTGGTGATTTCAAGTCATTGAAAGAATGGTGAAATGGAGGTTTGGTGTGCAAGGTGTTAATCACAGTGACAGGAGATTGAGTAACACGTCCTTAAGGACTGAGCAGCAGGCAATGACAGATGCGGTCATGCTATTTTGCCAGCAGAGCTTCTGGACAGTGACTCATTGGCTTTCAGAGATTCCTTGGCTCTGTGGAAACCTGTTTGAATGCTTCTTAAATACAGTTTCAAAATTGAATTTAACATATTGTTGCAGGACAATGAAGCAGAGACTGCTGTGTGAATAGCAATTTGGTAATGCCTCACAATCATGATTTGGTCATAGGCAATAACAATCTACTTTTGTAATGATAGGTGGAGGTTTTAAAACGAACAAAACTTTATACATAGCGGAGGCAAGATGATGTAGTGATTATGGTTATAAGCTCTGGAACCAGTCACTTCTCTGTCATTTCATAGCTGTGTGGGCAAGTTACTTAACTTCTCTGTGCCTCATATTCTTTATTTTGAAAATGACGATCATAATAGTGCCTCCTGGCCGGGCACGGTGGCTCAAGCCTGTAATCCCAGCACTTTGGGAGGCCGAGGCGGGTGGATCACGAGTTCGAGAGATCGAGACCATCCTGGTCAACATGGTGAAACCCCGTCTCTACTAAAAATACAAAAAAACTAGCTGGGCGTGGTGGCGCGTGCCTGTAATCCCAGCTACTCAGGAGGCTGAGGCAGGAGAATTGCCTGAGCCCAGGAGGCGGAGGTTGCGGTGAGCCGAGATCGCGCCATTGCACTCCAGCCTGGGTAACAAGGGTGAAACTCCGTCTCAAAAAAAAAAAAAAAAAAATAATAATAATAATAATAATAGTGCCTCCTATATAGATTTATATGAAATATTAGATGAAATACTTTATCTCAAGTGCTAAGAACAGTCTCTAGTACATAATAAATAGTCAATAAATGTTACTATTCGTTGTTTAGTAACTTTATGCAAAATATAAGCTGGAGTATTATTTTAATGTTTCATCTGGTATGGTTTTTTATTCCAGTACTTTATTTTTGTCCTCTGGTCTTTCAAATCAGACAGTTAAGCACCCATTGCCTTAGGGGAGGAATTCTAAGCAGAAAATACATTTTAGTTTAAAAATCCAGCATTTTGTAATACCAAGAGCCTTGCCATTCCAGTTTCAAATGCCTAAATGCTAAAAGATCACGGAGATAATGTTCATGCTAGAAAGAGTTGATCGGATGAATGCAGAGTGATGGAGGAACCAGCTTTTCTGGCTCAGAGAGATAAATATTTTCTAGGCTGGGACAGCAAAATGGGACTGATTGATGTTTATGCTCAGATACCAGTTTGCATTCCCAAAATAAGGCTCTATGCCCAGCCCCCAGACATGGGAAGTTCAGGAGAGTAGAAAATAGAACCTGCAAGTAGTTGTTGAGATATAAGAAAAAAAAAAATGCCTGTGTCTTACAGTCCCTTGAAGGGACTGTAGGAAGCAGCATGCTTGTCCATCATGGTGAGGAAACAGTAAAACAGAGATGGATAGATACATGGGAATTTAGGCAGAAAGCCTTGGAGAATTTCCTTTCACCCAGCACAAGGGGAACCCAGGGACAGCCTGGAAGAACATGAGCGAACACCAGCTCATCTTGTGGGCAATAATTGCACAAATTAATGACAGTGATGACTTGAGGGGAACACAGCCATTTTAGCAAATGCTAGCATAATAGATGGTTGTAATCAATGATTAGTAGCCCTGACTTATAGCTTGGCATTTTTGGAACCCCCAGGAATGTAGATGCAATGCTAGAGATTGGGACAATTATGGGGTGTTGGGTTTGTGGGAGACTGATGAAGATTATGCAACATTTATTGAAAGTAAATTCTTATCTCTAGTTGGAATAGTAACATGAAATAAAACTAAAGTTCAGTTAAAAAATACAAGTAAAAGTTACATTCTTTACATGTTTCTATCATGAAAAATAGAAATATACAAAACATATAGGAAAAAATTACATTTCTTGCCTTTGCCCCCCCATAAACATACATACAGACCAAATGAGTGGATCCATGGGACTACTGCAGAGAAAAGTTCAGCTGCCTCTACCCTGCCTTATCATTTTATAGAAGGATGATGCCCAGAATAACATTCCCTTAAATACTCCCATGATTTGTAAGAAGGCCAAGAATTTCTGCCCACACACATGAAAATAAGGCAATGAAGGAAAAAATTAAAGCCAGTGCTGGTTTTTAAAACATGCAGTTTATATATAAGACTTGCAGAATTAAAATGAACCTCAACAAAATTCAAGGCAGTCAAATAATGTTCCTGAAAAGTGGTTACTCCTTGAGTTACATTTTTATTATTAACAGATGTGAATTTTTTTGGCGAGTGGATGCTGTCTAACATTTGTATTCTCAGCATTTTCTGTATTATTTAAGGCAGTTTGTTTTCCCCAGTGATCCTATGTCTTCGAGAGCTTGCTCTTGACAGTGGTGGCTTTAGGAACAAGGTCCCAAGTTGCCAGGGATTGCTATTGTGTTGGAGCCATGCTGCTGCTTTTCCCTCCTCATAACCTGAACACGCTTTGTTATTTCTTGCATTTATAACCTCTAGTTCTGCTCCCACAAAACCAAAGTTCTTTGGTGGGTAAAAACTCAGCTACAACATTCCCTGAAATAGTGATTAGACTGAAGCTTCCTTGGCTTTGTCCAAATCCAAACCCCATTTCTGTACTTTGTTTTCTGTCTTCAGGTGGTCTTCTGTCATCTGTCTACCTACAGCCTGGTTTGGGGTATGGCAGCAGTGATGCTGTGCACAGCACAAGGTAAAGAGGCTCAATTCCCCAGCTTGGATTCCAGCAAACACAATTTCTGCAGTGAAGACATTTGGCCACTATTGTTTGTGTGATGCTAGTTCCATTTATCTGTGTGAATTATTTAAACATTTAAACTGCTTGCAGGAGTGGGAGTGGTTCTTTCTGCTTTCCACATTTTTGTTTTCAATGTAGCAACACACTTTGATATTTAGAAGCTGTTTCCCTAGTAGCTGAACCAGACTTATGAAAAATATCCTCTAAATTAAAATGCAATTTTTTACTTACTGAATTGAAAAACTCTTACAAATAATGATTTCCTGTGTCTATAAAAATATGGTAATGCTTGAATTCAGTCTTTTTGGAAGGTAATCTGGCAGTAAGCCTTGAAATTGGGTGTGTTCCCTTTTTACAGAAAAAAATGTAGAAAACAATGAAACGTAGAAGTTATACAATTACACGTGCTTATATTATCTGTTGTATTACAAATGTGGCTATGCCATCTACTTATCTATGGAAGTTCCTAGTTCTTCCTCCTCGGTTCCTTGGGAGGTCACACTCACTTTGCTAATGGCCTTTTCATCGCTTGCAGTATGATGTTGCTCAGCATCAGCTTCCACAGATGTGGGTGATGCTGGTGAAGATCAAGTGGACTCTGGTCCATGACATTCATCACAGGACTTAACAACTGAACAGAGGAATCTAAATGAGAGGCCATAGAAGTAGCAAAGAATTGTAAACGTCCCCTAAATGATTTCGTCCTAGTCAAAAAGAAAAAAGAAAAACTCATCCAAGAGTTGAACTCTAGTTTGAGTCCCCTTTCACTCTGCTTTCTAAAAGCAATCCTTTCTTCAAACCTCTGCTCTGCAGAATCTCAGCAAACTTTAAGGAAACCTCAATCCTAGCAAGAGATATTGTTTACCGGAACTTTTCACATCTTCCAAGAGTGTACATCATTTAGTCTTGAATTATGCAATGCTCAGGGGTTCCAGCCTGTATTTGTTACACCATCTTTCATTCACTGATATTGTTGGGGAGCTGTTTGCTCAGCCTTCTTTTTTTTTTCTCTACTTATACTTAGCAACATTTTATCTATATTATCAGTCTTTAAAAACAAGTTTGGATGCTTGTGATCCAGTTTACATTTTTGTACCATTGTATTAGTTAGTGCCTTTATCTTTATTAATTCACTGCGATTTTTGAAAGGGAGGATAGGAGGTTTGGAAGTAAGTGTATTCATTTTTCACTATCTCTTCTTTTCTATTAAATGTTGCTAGAATTAAATATGTTTCTCTGAGAACTGTCTTGTCCATTTCTTTCTTTTCTCTTTTTTTTTTTTTTTTTGAGACAGAATTTTACTCTGTCACCCAAGCTGGAGTGCAGTAGCACGATCTCAGCTCACTGCAACCTCCACCTCCAAGGTTCACGCAATTCTCCTGCCTCAGCTTCTCAAGTAGCTAGGATTATAGGCACCCCGCTACCACACCCAGCTAACTTTTGTGTTTTTAGTAGAGATGGGGTTTCACCTTGCTGGCCAGGCTGGTCTCAAACTTCTAATCTCAAGTGATCTGCCTGCCTTGACCTCCCAAGGTGCTGGGATTGCAGGTGTAAGCCACTGTGCCCAGCCTGTCTTACCCATTTCTATAGATTTTTAACATATTATGCACTCATTGTCATTCAGCAATAATAATTTATGATTTCTTCTATGATTTCTCATGTACCTAGGACTTAAAAGAAGTGTGTAGATTTCTATTTTTATTGTACTATGAACTGTGTTCAAGGCCATACATAGAGTAACAACTTTTTTGTAGCCTATTTTGAGTTCCGTTTGGAAAAATGTTCTGTGTGTGTTTTGAAAAGATTATACATCCTTTCTTTGAGTAAAGTGTGTGTGTTGCAGGGGTGCGGGAGGGGCTTATGTTATCTTTATTCATTTAGTATGAGTTACTGGGTTTATAGAGTTTATTATATCTCTTTAATTGTATTGACTTTCTCAAAAGTTTGGCTATTTGTTATTATGTTGAGATTTTCCATCAGATAATCTATCATAGTATGAGTTGCTAGTATTGGAGAATGGAAGAAATTTTATATATATATATATATGTATATATATATATATGTATGTATATATACACATGCAGAGAGATATCTACATACATATAAAGTATATAGTGTATATCTATATAAACATATAAAACATTTATCATATTAAATACCTGAAGTGTATATATAAATATATATTGTTTTTCAAATTTTATTTTCTTTATGATATTGTCTTACTTTGTCACCCAGGCTGGAGTACGATGATATGATCATTGCTCACTCCAGCCTTGAACTCCTGGGCTTAGGCAATCTTTCTGTCCTAGGCTCCTGAGTAGCTAGAACTACAAGTACGTGCCACCACAGCTGGCTAATTTTTACATTTTTTGTAGGGATAAGGGTCTCATACTGTTGCCAAGGCTGATCTTGAACTCCTGGCCTCAAGTGATTCTTCTGCTTTGGCTTCCCAAAGCACTGGTATTACAGGCATAAGCCACTGTACCTGGCAGTTTTTGATATTTTCTATTTAACTTATTTGCTTTAATAATTGTTTAAACATATGAAATTGAAGGTTCTCAATATGATTGTGGATTTAAAATTTTTTCTTTGTAATTCTAGTAGTTTTTGCTTTATATATTTCAGAGTTATGTTGTTAGGTGCATAAAGGTTCATAATTAATAGATCTGATTTTAGATTGTTCCTTTTATCATTTTGAAAAATACTTTTTCTCCTCTTATAGTGCTTTTGTCTTCCATTCCCTTTTTCCTCTCCTTTTAGAAGTTTTATTGGACTGATTTTGGAACATTTAAGTCTACTCATTAAATTTCTCCTTAATTCCTGTCATATCATTATCTCTTTGTGCTATATTCTAGAAGAATTTTATGGCCTGGTCTTACTGTTTACTAATTTACTCTTCAGTGGCATCCATTTTGCTAAGCCAGCCAATCTATTGTAATTTTATATTTCTCATTTTTTACATCTCTAATTTCTATTTATAATGCTTTAATTACACTTAGGATATCACATGTATTCATGTCAAAGTATTTATTGGCTTCTGATATCTTTATTCATTTGGTATGAGTTATTGGGTTTGTACAGTTTATTATTTCTCTCTTTCATTGTGCTGGCCTTCCCAAAAGTTTGGCTATTTGTTATTATGTTGAGATTTTCCATCAAATAATCTATTATATTATGAGTTGCTAATATTGTAGAAGGGAAGAAATTATCGCCATAGCGTTTAATGAAAGTGGAGGTGTGTAAATTATTATTTGTGTGTCATCCTCCAGAGCATTGTCCCATACATCTCTCTAACCTATGTTCCTATATACACTCTTGCTTCCTGGAGGCAGACACCTCTGTTCTACCTGCTTCCTTCGGAGAACGTGTGTATGTGTGTGTGTTTGTGTGGAATCCATAAGGCTGCTTCATCTTCTTTACTTGAAGTGATCACGCTGCCTGTTATCCTTTGGCCTTTTCTGGCTCTTTGTTTCTACTTCTCCAAGCATGGACATGCTTGGTGAAGCTGCTATCCTACCTGGCAATTTACATCTTCAATCTCATTGTACCTTCTTTGCAGCTTACAGAGGTTCTTCACAATTTCTTGTAACTGAGAGTTGCTTTCTTGTTTTTCTACTCTGCTACTATTCTTTAAAGATTGAACAAACATATTTGAACCTGTGTATCTCTCTGGAACCATGTAACAATGTAAATAAATGTTTTTTTCTTTGCATTTTCTCTATCTTTTTTATGTTTGACATTGAAAATACATTGTATTTGTAATTAGGAAAAAGTGTATGTGTGTTACAATCTTTAAATATAAATGTTCTTTTCTGATTCCATGGTGCAAGTGGTGACCCAGGATGAAAGAGAGCAGCTGAATACGCCTGCTTCCTTAAGATGCTCTCTGCAAACTACCTACGAAGTCCTGATTGTGACATGGCAGAAAAAGAAAGCTGTAAGCCCAGAAAACATAGCCACCTTCAGCAACAGCTATGGGGTGGTGGTCCAGCCTGCCTATAAGGACAAGTTGAACATTACCCAGCTGGGACTCCAAAACTCAACCATCACCATCTGGAATACCACCCTGGAGGATGAAGGGTGTTACATGTGTCTCTTCAATACCTTTGGTTATGGGAAGATCTCAGGAACAGCCTGCCTCACCCTCTATGGTGAGAGTCTCTGGAATACATTGTCTGTGTCTGGAAATACTCTTTTCAAGAATGTCTGGAACAGGCGTAGGGCCCAGTTTTTCAGGATTTTAACCACAGAAAGGGTCATGAGAAGATAGCTTTTCATGTCTACTATAGCTTTGTTTACAATTATTTGGAGAGTTCATGGGGCTACGCTGAGTTCTTTGACTGGAGCTATCTTATTTCTGAGGGATTCTGCTGTCAACAGGAGTAATTTGAGGACAATCGTGAGGGCAACAAGTTTTCCATTAGCAGTAATAAGGTTCAGACCTGGCTTTGCCACTAGCAATCACGTGACCGTAGAAGAGCCCTATCCACTCTGCACTGGCGTTTCACTGTCTGCACAATATGTGTGAAATAGATCATTTCTAGGGTCACTTACAACTTCAACTTTTTGGATCTAAAGATAGAGCCAGATTGGGCTAGCCTTGAGCCAATACGACTGTCCTTCTCATTTTGCTTCAGGGTACCTCTTTCAGGATTGATAAGGGCACATAGAGCATATCATTTCATACCTGAAATGATGCCAACTAAAGATATACCTGGACAATACGCATTCTTTTAAAATCCAGGAGGTGTAGTTTAATGAGATTCCTTTCCTCTTAACTGACACACAGCTGAGATGAAAGATTAGGAAGTGGGAATAAGAGATAACTTTGGAGCATGGCACACATGGCAGTAGTTTTAGGGAGTAGAGGACAAACTTAGGGTTATTAGGAATATTGAAGGGAGAGTTTAATAATGCCAAGAACATTGCCCACAGGGAAGAAGAGACTTAGTAGATAAAAATGCAAGGGAAATAGCTTAGTAAATAAGGATGTAAGGGAGATAGGACAACACCAAAAGAAATTTCTTTTTTTTTTTTCTTTTCTTTTTTTTTTTTTTGAGGCCTCTTTGTTAATAATCTTCAGTTCATGTAGCAAGTGTATGGAATCTTTTTTTTTTTTTATTGCATTTTAGGTTTTGGGGTACATGTGAAGAACATGCAAGATTGTTGCATAGGTACACACATGGCAGTGTGGTTTGCTGCCTTCCTCCCCCTCACCTGTATCTGTCATTTCTCCCCGTGCTATCTCTTCCCACCTCCCCTCTCCCCCGTCCCTCCCCCATTTAACCCCAACGGACCCCAGTGTGTAGTGCTCCCCTCCCTGTGTCCATGTGTTCTCATTGTTCAACACCTGCCTATGAGTGAGAACATGCGGTGTTTGATTTTCTGCTCTTGTGTCAGTTTGCTGAGAATGATGGTTTCCAGGTTCATCCAAGTCCCTACAAAGGATGTGAACTCATCGTTTTTGATGGCTACGTAATATTCCATGTACTTATTTTGCCTATGATGAGTCCTCTCTATAGAATCTTACGCTGTTTCTTTCTTGATTTCCACGTCTTTCATTCTCTCTGTGTCTTTTTCTCTTACTCCTCCCTGTCTCTTTCCTTTCTTGTCTCCTCTCTGCCTTCCTTTCTTCTTCCCTTCCTCCTAGTTTTTCTTATTTTTTTCTTATGTCGTATTTTTCTCATTTCTGTTCCTTTTTGCTCTCTTCCGTTTTCTCTCATCTTTCTTTCTCTTAGTCTCCTTCCTTCACTCATAGACTTTTTGTATTTTTTTTTCCTGAAAACCAGATGCCTCTGAGCTTTAAAGCTAGTAATTCTGTTCTCTTCCACCCTGATCTTTTCCAGACACACCTTGTAACTTTCATCTAAGCCATTCTTTGATACATCATAGGACCTCGACACTCAGTCTGGCCACAACAATATTCATATATTTTCAGTTTTATTTCTCTTCTTCCAGTTCTCACAGGCATTAGTAAGCTGGGCACTCTTTAGTCAGTGCCACAGTTCCAAAGCCCTACTTTCTCCAACCCACTGTCATCTACCTGCCTCTTGAACCTATAAGTACAGCCCAGGCTTTCAGTTAGCACTGGGATTTTACTATATTGTGGGCTCCAAAGTCAATCACAGAAAGACAAGTCTACATTTGCTTAGAAAAGGAAAATTCTATAGTCCAACAAAAATGAGCTCACTAATCAGGGGATTTTCAAGAGGGTACAGGCTACAGCTGGCCTGAAAACAATTTTCTCATGTGCTAGTTATTTTCTCTTAGGTGATTTCCAATACTCTTCCAACAGTCATTTTTACAGCTTTTAAGGTTATTAGCTATGAACTCCAAATTCGCATTTTGTGTAGCTCTTTCAAAAAGGGATTTTTCACCTCTTCCCCATATATCTAATTCACTGGTTCAGCTCCAGGAAGAAAATAACTATCTCTAGGCCGGGCGTGGTGGCTCATGTCTGTAATCCCATCACTTTGGGAGGCTGAGGCGGGTGGATCACCTGAGGTCAGGAGTGCAAGATCAGCCTGGCCAACATGGTGAAACCCCATCTCTACTAAAATACAAAAATTAGCCAGTCATGATGGTGGGTACCTGGAATCCCAGCTACTTGGGAGGCTGAGATGGGAGAATCGCTTGAACCCGGGAGAGGGTGATTGCAGTGAGCTGAGATGACGCCACTGCACTCCAGCCTGGGCAGCGTGGCTGAGCGAGACTCTGTCTCTAAACAATAGCCTTTCTATGGGCTCTCTGTTCTGAAACTGACCTGGTGCTTCTGATAGATACAGGCCACATATATGGCAGTAGGTGGTGCTAATGGGTGTTATTGTCAAGCCATTTAAGACGAATACCTAGAAGAAGGCAGAGATGCCACATTGCCCCCGGAAAAGAACAGAATAACTAGGTTTTGCACTGTTTGCAAGAGAAAAGTAACATCTGATTTCTCAATACTCTATGTCCGTCCAACTAATTTTGCTGCAGACAAATTACAAAGAGGGTCTTTCTCATCACAGGTTTATACTAGGCCAGTCTCCATTCTGCAGATCAGAGAATTAGAAACAAGAAGAACTGGAAAGTCCCCAGTTTGGGTAGGATATGCCACCCTATCTTTCTAGCTTCCACTGTCTTTCTATAAGCATCTTTCCCTCATCTCTCTGAGGAGACGCAGGACTCAGACCAGGTGCTTAGCTGATAACAGGTTGTATTTATTTTTTGTCCCAGTACAGCCCACAGTATCCCTTCACTACAAATTCTCTGAAGACCACCTAAATATCACTTGCTCTGCCACTGCCCGCCCAGCCCCCGTGATCTCCTGGAAGGTTCCTCGGTCAGGGATTGAAAATAGTACAGAGACTGTGTCTCACCCAAATGGGACCACATCTGTTACTAGCATCCTCCAGGTCAAAGACCCTAAGAATCAGGTGGGGAAGGAGGTGATCTGCCAGGTGCTGCACCTGGGGACTGTGACCGACTTTAAACAAACCTTCAACAAAGGTAAGAGAAAGTGAGCAAGGTGGCTGTGGTTGTATCTGTGTGCATACACCTGGAAGGAGGTGAATATCCTACAAAGGTTTTCAGCCTCTTAGCGTAAGAGCTATTTGGAGAAAGAATGGGGCAAATAAGGAAAAAATAAAAAACAGTTGTGAAAACAAATAAAGCAAGTTTTACTTTCATAAATGTGGTTCATTGCCCACACACCAAATGCTGTTGCTGAGATCCATTCATTTATTAATTCCATTCTACTACCATGTAATTAGTTCTGTTCTGGGCCAGATTTTGGGTTGAACATGAAAAACGCAACAATAAGCAAGACTCACTCCCTAAGCTTCTCGTCTACCAGGGAGTACAGATAAGTGGACGGGCAATTGTAAAACTGTGCATTCAATTCTCCAGAGAGAAAGCTATGATGCACCATGAGAGGACTGGAGGTTGGGAAGGAGGGGCTTAATCTGGGAGAGAGATTTGGAAGGTTTTCTGGAAGCAACATCTGTGATGAAACCACTGTGTAATCTACACTGTGAGAAAGGGACCTATCTGAAGTGCTTTCATCACCCATTTTAAAGAAAACTGCCTCTCATCCAAGTTCCTTTTTATTCTCTTGTGTTTTTTATCTAAACTACTGTCTTTGGGCCTCATAGATACAAGAGGTGAGAATGATAGAGGAGAGAATAAAGGGAGCAGAGATTATAAAGACAAGAAATTTTAGCAATAATAGCCAAATCTTTTCTCTATGTAGTTTTGAAGCACTGACTCTAGATGAAGCAGTCAGTAATAAGCCTTCTAAAAAATATTACTGCTCTTTTTTGGAGAAATTATGAGCAATAAAATGGAAAAACTTTCTACACACGTCTCTTTAATGCAGTAGCGTCTAAGGCTCACCTCCTCTAGGCATTTTTGGAGACCCTGAAAACTCAGACTAATCAGAAGTTGGATATTTACATAAATTTGGTCAGAAAGACCTGCAATGTTGAATCGGGATATTTGTGAAGAGATCTTCAGATTCAGCCATGGCAAAGGGTATATTTTCTTGAAAAACAAGAACCTAGAAAAGAATGTCTTTTTTCCCCCCAAGAATGCCAGATTTCACTTATATCACTTACAGTGTTTATATACTACTTATATAATGTTTGTTTATTCTGTGAACATTTACCAAAAATCTTCCATGCTCAAAGCGTCATCCTCAAAGCACTGGAACTGTAGAAATTAGACAAATCCCTGTCTGAAAGTCTGAAGGTGTTCAGTTAAATAATGATGTGGCAAAACCCATTACGGAGGTATGGAGAAGATGTTAGAGAATCCCAAATCAAAAAGTTCCTCATCTGCCTTTGCATTGCAACATTACACTGAGGAGCTGATATTTAGGCTGAGTTGCATTGACTGACTACTGGAAAGAGGTTTAATAACAAAGTCATAGATAAGATATTTAATAAAAACTTTGAGATGAGTTATCTCTGGGGGTAGAAGTAATGAGATTTTTTTTTTTTTTTTTTTTTTTTTGCTTTATACTTCTCTGCATTTTCCACAATTTCCTCAATAAACATATACTTTTTTTTTTTTTTTTTTTTTTTGAGACGGAGTTTCGCTCTTGTTACCCAGGCTGGAGTGCAATGGCGCGATCTCGGCTCACCGCAACCTCCGCCTCCTGGGCTCAGGCAATTCTCCTGCCTCAGCCTCCCGAGTAGCTGGGATTACAGGCATGTGCCACCATGCCCAGCTATTTTTTTGTATTTTTAGTAGAGACGGGGTTTCACCATGTTGACCAGGATGGTCTCGATCTCTTGACCTCATGATCCGCCCACCTCAGCCTCCCAAAGTGCTGGGATTACAGGCTTGAGCCACCGTGCCCGGCTCATATATTCTTTTAATAGACAGTATGGCAAAGAATATGTGCTTTAGAGGCAAACAGACTTTCCACCAAGCCTTGGTTATTCCATTTGCTATTCTGATTTTGATCTCAGTTAAAGTTTCCAAGCCTCAGTTTTCTTTAAATCTGGTAGATAATAATAATATCTAACTCTTAGGATGTTTTGAGGATTAAATGATATACATTGATACATTTAAAGTTCTTGTTACATAGTCACCAAATAAAACATGTTAGCTATTGCTAATATCTAAATAGTATTAAAATGATATGAAGTCATGCATGTAAACCTCCATATGTATGTAGTTAACGACGATTTCAACTAAAAGCTCAACTCTATTGCTTTATCACTTTTTGCCTCAACAATTTCCTCTCGTGACATCACTTTTTTTTCTTTCTTTCTTAAATATCTATAGGCTATTGGTTTTCAGTTCCACTATTGTTAAGCATTGTTTCCCTGGTAATTCTTCTGGTCCTAATCTCAATCTTATTGTACTGGAAACGTCACCGGAATCAGGACCGAGGTGAGTCACCACAGGGTGTTAAAAGAAAAATGACAGAAATTATATTTTTAATGACAATTTGAGGGTCATTTGAACATATAAATAAGGGATTGACAATGGCAACAATGACAGACATGTTGATACTGTTTTAAAATGCATCGGGGCATTTTCTTGCAATTGGATATTAAATTGAACATTTCTGCTTTTTGTTTGCTAAGATGACTTAAAAGCTAATGGAATCAAACAATGGTGACAGAACCAAAGAAAGAAGTCTGGCACTCATGCAGGATCCTTTCCACTCATCATGAGAATGACAATCTCTTCTCTTTTTACAGCACTTCACAGGCCATCTGCCCATTTAAGAGGCTGAAATTTTCCAATTATGATCACTCATTAAGTAGCACTTTCTGTGCTCTACTCCCACGATGCCTCAAACTCTATCAGCATCATGCAAGTGGTCTATACTTACAGTAACTATGTCATGTCGCTCTGCCTTTTTAGACTGCAAATTTCTCTTTATGTTTCACAACTATCACGATATGTTTTTTTTTTTTTTTTTTTTTTTTTTTTGAGGCGGAGTTTCGCTCTTGTTACCCAGGCTGGAGTGCAATGGCGCGATCTCGGCTCACCGCAACCTCCGCCTCCGGGGTTCAGGCAATTCTCCTGCCTCAGCCTCCTGAGTAGCTGGGATTACAGGCACGCGCCAACATGCCCAGCTAATTTTTTTTTGTATTTTTAGTAGAGACGGGGTTTCACCATGTTGACCAGGGTGGTCTCGATCTCTCGACCTCGTGATCCACCCGCCTCGGCCTCCCAAAGGGCTGGGATTACAGGCTTGAGCCACCGCGCCCGGCCTACGATATCTTATATATACCAGGTGCTCAATAAATGTTAATTTATTGAATGAACTGATTGAGCACAGAGAGAATTTAAAATTCACTTTCTCCTATTGTAAATTCAGTACCTCATAAGTGCCAATCTAAGATACTGTAAGAAATTATAAAACAAGAGACACTATAAAGCAAGAGAAGTGAGTTAGACAAAGAGGAAGAATGAAATGTCTGGTTTCTGAAGACAGTGCACAATTTACTGAATTGAATACAAAGCTGCAGTTTATGTTTTGTGTAATGGGAATTTGCTAGAGTGAAGGGGTAAGGTGGGAGTTTCCTCCATTTCAGATGACTGCAGGATAGGGGACAGGAAAGAAACAAATGTTGGCTTTGATTGCTATTTTAGACTGATTAAAAGTCTCCCTCAAATATAACCTTTTTTCCTTTCATTTTATGTTTTATATAAATGTTTTCTTTTATTTTATGTTTATACTTTTATGTTTTTGTTAATGTTTCAAGTTTTTGACCACTTTATTTTGCATAGTCCTCCAGATTAATTCTTGTGAATTTATGAAACACACAAAAGCCTTCAGTGTCAGTGGCCCTTTTGCAAAAGTAGGTAAAGGTATTTGTTTTGTCCAGGAGAGAAGATTACAGATCAGTTAATCTTATTGCATAAATTATAAGCCCATAGAACTCATAAGTGCTCCACAAAATAAAATCAAAGGCAGAAGTGTTTGATTCTACTTTATCCCAACATTTTTCTTTTCCAGTTAGGAAACTGAAGCCCAGAGAGGGAAGTTGACTTTTTTCCATAAGTTCATACTGCTTTTTTTTTTTTTTGGAGATGAGTTTCGCTCGTTACCCAGGCTGGAGTGCAATGGCGTGATCTCGGCTCACCGCAACCTCTGCCTCCTGAGTTCAGGCAATTCTCCTGCCTCAGCCTCCTGAGTAGCTGGGATTACAGGCACGCACCACCATGCCCAGCTAATTTTTTTGTATTTTTAGTAGAGACGGGGTTTCACCATGTTGACCAGGATGGTCTTGACCTCTTTAACTCGTGATCCACCTGCCTTAGCCTCCCAAAGTGCTGGGATTACAGGTGTGAGCCACCGCGCCCGGCCCCTACAGCTTCTTGAGAGCAGGCTAGGATTAAACTGTAGTGCCCTGACCTCTGCCAAATGTTCTTCCTGTCGTTACTGATGCCCTAGTGTCTTGACTTGAAAGGAGCTATTGTTGTCAATTGTATTCACTTAATCTGTGCATAATGTTAATGCCCTTTTCTTTTGGAAAGTGCTGGCAGGAAAGTGTAAAGTATTTAAATTCATTTTTAAAAGTCCCTGTTGGGCAAAAGTCTTATAATGCAATCTGCTCAAGCCAGGGGTAAATTCTACTGGAAAGACATATGTAAAATAATTACCCTTGTTCATTAAGCAAGTCTTGGATTTTCTGGGAAATATAATCATTCAATGCTAATAACCGATTCTTGAAGCAAAAAGAATCAGCTTATTTCTCTGCCCAAGTTTTCCCTCATTTATGAAATAAATACCTGAACCTATGTTGACTTTTCCATTTGTTTTGCTTATAAAAGATACCTGAGTCTGGGTAATTCATAAAGAAAAGAGGTTTATTTGGCTTCTGAAGGCTATACAAGAAGCACAGCGCCAACATCTGCATCTGGTGAGGGCCTCAACCTGCCTCCACTCATGGCAGAAGGAAAAGGGGAGCCAGCGTGTGCAGAGATCAGACGGTGAGACAGGAAAACAAAAGAGCATGCTGCTAGGCTCTTTCACCAGCTCTCATGGAACTAATAGAGAGATCTCACTCACCCCAAAGGCATTCATCAGTTCCTAAGGGATCTGCTGCCTTAAACCACTCCCACTAGCCCCTACCCTTAACATTGGGGATCAGATTTCAACACGAGGCTCGTAGGGTCAAGTATCCAAACTATAACAACCAATTTAGATCCTTTTTTGTTTGTTTGTTTGTTTGTTTGTTTGTTTTTGAGACGGAGTCTCGCTCTTGTTACCCAGGCTGGAGTGCAATGGCGTGATCTCGGCTCACCGCAACCTCCGCCTCCTGGGTTCAGGCAATTCTCCTGCCTCAGCCTCCTGAGTAGCTGGGATTACAGGCACGTGCCACCATGCCCAGCTAATTTTTTGTATTTTTAGTAGAGACAGGGTTTCACCATGTTGACCAGGATGGTCTCGATCTCTCGACCTCGTGATCCACCTGCCTCGGCCTCCCAAAGTGCTGGGATTACAGGCTTGAGCCACCGTGCCCGGCGCCCTTTTATTTTTTTTTTAAGTCAGAGTCTTGCTCTGTCACCCAGGCTGGAGGGCAGTGGTGCGATCTTGATTCATTGCAACTTCCACCTCCCGAGTTTGAGCGATTCTCCTGCCATAGCTTCCCGAGTAACTGGGATTACAGGCATGTGCCACCATGCCTGGCTAATTTTTTTTTTTTTTTTTTTTTTTTTTTTTTTTAGTAGAAATGAGGTTTCTCCATGTTAGTCAGGCTAGTCTTGAACTCCTGACCTCGGGTGATCCACTTGCCTTGGCCTCCCAAAGTGCTGGGATTATAGGCATGAACCACTGCGCCCGGCCCCTGATTTCGAAAATTTTAATAGCCAGATAATTTGGCTTCGTATACTTACAGCTAGTAAAACCGAGTGCCGAATATGCTGGAGCTTAAATGCTCAGGGCTAAGCCAATACTGGTTCATTTAGACCAAACCTTGGGTTATACAAAAAGGTGGGAGAAAGAAAAGAAAAAGGAAAGAATATCTGACTTTTTTTTCTACAATTAACGAATTCTGGTTGATACTTCGTGAGGAAGGGGAATAGTCCTACACATTTGTCTTCCATTTGTTCTCATCCTTACTTTTGTTTTCTTTCTATTTTACTTTCCATCATCTTCTGAAAACATAAAACTTCCAAATGGGCAAAAAAACATGATCAGTCAAAAATAACACAAGGGTTTTGAACTTGGTAACCTCAAAAATGGTGATGTGAACAGAAACAGGAAAGTGAAGAGGTGGAACTGAGAGAGAGAGAGAGAGAGAGAGAGAGAGAGCTAGCAAGAGACAGAGTGTGTGTTTACAGTTTACAGAAAAGTAAAGGAGTCAAATGAATCAGTTCTCGAATTTGTGACAGACAAGGAATTATCTTCATGTAACTGTCCAGAAGCCAATAATAAAAATCTGGCAAGTAAGGTAAATCTGTTAAGTAAAGTAAAATCTGTTCTGGATAAATGACCAAAAGGAAAGTTTTAGTCATAATCACTACTCGTTTCTCACAAATGTGTAAGCAAACTTAGAGTTACTGATGTAATTTTTACATAGAAATTAGACTCCCGTTACTTTTCTTGTGATGCTGTGTAATGCTGGAGAGCACGGTGTTGGTGTTTTCATCTGTAAAGCAGCACGGGCCCTTTCTCTGCACCATTCCTGATAGAATTATCACAGTTACTTTCCAGGAGACTACCACAGTAAGACTAATAAGCTTTCAAAGAATATTCTTTTCTCTTTCATGAATCCAGTACTTATAACAAAAACAGAAAGTGAGAAAGAATTAAAATTTCCTAGGGAAATTTTCTACCATCTCGAAATAGTTCTATTAAAACCCAGTGATTTCATAAAATTGTCCCTTCCACATATATGACAATGTAGCTAAATTTGGGGTTGAGAATAATCTTTTATTTCTTATTAATGTCAACCCACCAATAATTACATGCTTCTCAGAAACTATAAAAGAAACTTCACTTTGAGGCAGGTCATCATAGACAATCACCTAATTTTTAAGACAGCTCTATTTTGAGAGGCATTTTTTTTGTTGTTTGGTTTTGTTTGGTTGAGTCAAGTCTGCTTTGGAGAAGAAGAGAAAATTTAGACAATCATTTATAATTTATATGCCAAACTTGACTATTCTTTTTTTTCGAGTACTAGCTAATCCATGTAGAAGTATGCTTTTCATTTGCGTGAGCTGTATATTTACCTTGATTTCCTTCTCTTCACGATAACCTAACCTATTATTATACATTGCCAGGAACCTGAATCCTCAGATGATACACCCATTCCCTTGGTTTTTGGCCATGGGGCTGTTTTAAGGAGATTAGCTGTCAGTATCTGGTAGACTAATTAATGAAAAACAAAAAGGATGAGAAAATCATCCAGCTGAACAATCCTCTAACA